TTCTATATTATCGTATCGTGTTGATTATTAGGCTCTGAATGGTAAATGAGTAAACAGAAGAAACGACCTTGTTTCTTAGTAACAACATTTTTCACCATATGCGAATGGAGGAAAGCATGGAAATGTGGAGTCGCACATTTCAACACTTTTCCACGCTTTTTCCCAACTTTTGGGAAAACTGTCGTGCACCCCTAGCCAATTTCAGGGGAAAACTGCACTGCGCTCGTACCCAATTTATTTATTTAACATTACAATCTCTCTGCCCTCTCAATCTCTATTTGCCCAGGCTTTCTCCCGTTTTCATAGACATGTTACCAATCAAGGTTTCCAGCTTCTACTCTGAGTTTTTTATTTCTACCTTTTTCTCAAGCTTCCAGTTTTTTAGAGATTCTCCAAGAAAAGCAACTTTCTCTATTACTAAACAAGGCCTTAGCGATCTCCTTATGTACTACACGTGAGTTGTCGATGATTGGCACAAGGAAAAAGTTTATATAAGGGAGAGGCCCTAAACAATCCAATTAAGGTGCACGCCAAAAGTCACCAAATTGTTTTGATGCCCAAAAATCTTCAAATTGATCATCTCGATTTCAAGATACATTAACATGAGAAAAAATAGATTTCAAGTCTTGTAAATAGTGCATCTTGTAATGTATTTTCGGATTGTCAATTTTCAAGATTTTCAAGTGTTCATAGATCTACTCGATCTACACTATTTTCTAAGCTTTAATTTTCATAATTAGAGAGGAAAATAAATTTTCAAGCCATCACAAAGATTTCAAGTACTGAAACAACATCTTTCGATACTATGTAAAGGTGTGCCTACTTTGATTGTTTAAGGCCTCGGTCTTATACAAAACACACCCCATTACTCAGATCAAATTTGTAATTTCTTGAATTGCACCAACACTATGGTCCAAGAAATTATTTATTGTAAAATAATCTTGAAGAGATTTTCAAAGTTAGAAATAATGACTACTGTTATTAAGATCGAATTTGGCAACAAAATCAATAATCGGTTTGGTCCAGTCAAAACGTTTTCTTCTAGCATTTAAACTGGCGAGACCGAATTTTTGAAAATATAAAGAATAGAAATAATAGTTTAAAATGTAAGATATATAAAAATGTCCAACTTTGTAAAGTGGTCAAACTTTCAAAATCGGATAGTCTGACTGGTCAAATAATAGTTTTGATTAGTTTCAGCCAAACCCAATTTTTTATTTGATCTAGATTAGGCAAAGTAATGGTTTGCGGTCCAACCGATTGGATTAGGTGGTCTGATATGGTTTTGATAACTATGCATGTGGCTGAATTTCTCAAGAGTCAGAAATTAACATAACCTTTACGTTCTTCTAATTTGTAGGGAAAATTTAGAAAAATTATTTTTTGCAATATTTAAAAAATATCAATCTGTCATTTTTTTTTTCTTTGTTTTTAATTTTTCGAAAATACCCTCCATTTGGAACTTGAAGTTCCAAACCAATTCTATTAGGAGGCATTTTGTTTCACGTTTTGAGCCGATTAGAAATTACGTGATTCGAAACTTAAAAGTTCCAAATAACTTATTCACTTAAAAAAAAGGGAAATATCCGAAATATAATTTAATTTTTGTTTAATTGGAAAAAAAAAAAACCAATACTTTCATAAACCTTGTCCACACCCTCTTTTCTCAATTTTGACATTTGTTTTTTACTAAAATAGCCGACCAGGCTAAGTATTATGATATTTTAAGTACCATAATGACTAGGCTAAAAATTACGAGACTTTAAGTTCCATAATGATTAGGCTAAGCATTACTGTACTTTAAATACTGTAATGCTCAGATGTGGCAAATGAGGGAGAGAGAGACCAATGAGCATTGCAGTATTTAAAGTATTGTAATGCTTAGCCTAGTCATTACAGTACTTAAAATATCATAATGCATAGTCTGGTCATTAAAGCATTTAAAATACTGTAATGCGGTAGTCATTATGGTAATACGATTACCGTGAAAGCTGCTTTGGTAAAAAATTGAAAAACTTGAAGAAAAAGATGTGAACGAGGTTTATGAAAGTTGAAGGAATTCCAGTTAGATGAAAATTAAAGTATATTTATGATAATTTCCCTATAAAGAAATACACAAGCGGTTCACAGTTTGAAGTTCAGTATGGCTTATTTGCTAAAAAAAAGTGCACATGTCCTCCGCTCAGAACTTCAGGTCTAAACCAAGGACGCGTGTGTATATTTTCAACAAATAAGCTGCTCTGCTTAGTGTTCTCAAATGCGCTTCGTTACGGCTGAAGAGGCTTAAGTCTTCATACTTAGGCCTAAATCGAAGGGATGCGAAGCTTGGTGTTGTTGCTTTGGCTAGTTTCGG